ACTTCCTGTTATCAGAACTTTCAGACCATGAATTCACCTGTGCTGCTTGCCCTTTAGATTTCTTGGTTGTATTGTCATATTATCCTGACTTGTGCTTTGCCTGGTAAGCCACTGTGTTACTGTCTATTGTCTAGACCAGTGTTTCCCAACCCAGTCCTCAAGTACCCCCTACCAGTCCAGGATTTAGGGATTACCCTGTTGTGTCTAAAGTGTTTTGTATTCTTCTAAAACACCTTAGACACAACTAGGTAATCCCTAGATCCTGGCCTGATAGGGGTTACTCGAAGACTAGGTTGGAAACCACTGATCTAGAGGACTATCTCACTCACAGCCTCCTTCAAACAGTGTTCTTTACATAGGTGGGCAATTTGGACCTTCAAAGTCCGATACCACTGGCAAAACTAAATATGTCTCAGTCCAAACCTAAACGGACGTCGGAGAGACAAGAAAAGTCACACTTTTTTGCCCCAAGAACCGGGCTGACTAAGAAATCTAAGATGGCACTGAGGAGTCAAAGCTGAAGTCCTCGCAAAAATCACAAGCAACAGACTCTCCAGTTACCCAAGGAGTATTACAGGCTATGCTGGATTATATGTCTGACAAAATACTGCATACCTTACAATCCACACTCGGAGACCTACGCAAGGATCTGCAAGAATTGGGGGCTAGAACATCCACTATGGAAAAAACCATGTCACCACCGTGTCACAGTACGCTGAGGCCCATAATGACTGCAAAAATGGATGGCCTAATGTCTCGGATGGAAGAATTTGACATTAAGCAGACGGATATGGAAGACGGCCCAATGGAATAATCTCCACATTAGGGGAATGAAAGAAACAGTCAGCACCAATGAACTGTCTGCCTATATTACGGAGCTATTACATGCGATAGTCCCGGAGCTCCCAAGAGAGGTCCTTCTCATGGACCGCGTACATCGCACAACTAGGCTCAAATTCCTGCCTCCTGATACACCGCGAGACATATTGCTACGCCTCCACTATTATCATGCGAAGGAGGAAATCCTTAAGAGACTGGTCGGAGAAATACCGGGACGTCGCAGTATATGCAGATATTTCAGCATTCACACTCAAGAGGAGAAGATCTTTCCAAGCCATCATGGAGCAACTGAGAGCCCACCGAATCATCTACCGTTGGGGATATCCAGTGAAATTGTTGGGTGGCCCTAAGATACAGTCCCCTACGTGTAATGTCCAGACAGAGACCCTGTAATACTAAAAATTATAAATGCAAACGCATAAATGACAAAAAAAAAAAAGGAAAAGAAAGTATTTTTACAATTTCCACTAATAGGACATATAACCGAGCCAGTATGGGACGAGGAACTACAGTGGTTGCCTGCGTTAAATTTGGTAGAAGGGTTAGACAAAGCAGAAGGTGAGTCCCCCTATCACTAGATTAACCTAATTTCCCCAATAAATGGAGTCATTGGGATCCCCAAAATTGCTGGGAGGGTCAGGAGTGGCTTCCAGGTATTTAATCATGCATATCCCACATTTTTAGTTCTGATTGTTGGGAAGAAGGGATAGAGCAGGTACCTTAAAAGATAGTGTAGAGCGCTGCAAAAACTCTAAATCCTGCATCATTACTATGACGCCTGGAGAGCTTCCCACGGAAAGGAAAAATCTTATACCTATTTCTCACATATACACAACTCATATTCCTGTCTCAATGCATTCTTCGTGTCAGTATCACACCTTAACCAAATTGACCACTGTGTATTACCCAAATCACATGGTCAGACCATGCTCCGGTCACCTTGGAAGTCAAGAACTTATATGATTTAAAAAATCGGAGTAACTGAATTGCTCTCTATTACAAAACAAGGAGTTTACAGGCAAAATAGATGAGTCCCTTCGAAGTTATTTCCTAGATAACAAGACCCCTGAGGTATCTATCAACATGATATCACAGTCAAACAAAACAGTGGTAAGGGGACTTTTTATACAAAGAGCTGCTGCAATGGCAAAAGGACCTTTATGCACTAGATGTGCAAAACCAACTAACACCATCTCTATCCCTTAGAAGCCAGATCCTGTCCCTGACGAGACTTATTCGCCAGCATGCTCTTCGGGCCACCGATTATCAGCTTAAATGCCTCAAAGCCAAATTTTATGCTCAGGGGAACAAGGCGAGTAAGCTCTTAGCTACTAGACTGAAGGCGAGACAAGCCTATCAAAAGATCGCATAGCTCACAACGTGAACGGGAACCAAGATACATACTCCAAAAGATATCAGTGACGAATTTGTGCGATACTACGCGGATGTGTACAATTTAAAACAGGACCCCCAGCTATGTCAACCGAAGAGTGAGAATATAGCTCACTACCTGACAGACCTTAATTTACCCCACTTGACCACAGCACAGCAGGCAGACTTGACCAGTCCACTGTCTGAACAGGAGGAAGTTGACGTTATTCGGGCAATGCCGTCGGGTAAAGCACCCGGACCTGATGACCTGGACAAATTCTACTATAAAATATTCTGCATCATGCTAGCTCCTCACGTGGTTGCACTGTTTGCCAACGCTGTCACCACTGAACACTTACACACTGATATACTTGCGGCACATGTTGTCACACTACCGAAACCAGATAAACCACCTACCATACCTCAAAACATTAGGCCCATATCGTTTTTAAATACGGACACGAAACTACGCAAAGATATATGCAACCCGACTCAGTAAGATTTTACCCCATGTAATCCCTTCTGATCAAGTGGGTTTTGTGACAGGACGCTAAGGGTCTGAGAACACCTATAAGGGGATGAGCGTGATGCACAGTTTCAGAAAATCAGGTTTTGGGGGGCTTGTTGGTATCCCTTGATGCGGAAAAGGCCTTCGGCCATCTGCATTGGGGGTTCCTAGAGGCGATGCTACTTAGATTTGGCATCCCTGGGGGATTCCTTATGCTCAATTTCTGTCTAACCCCTTCACAAAAACAAATGAGACGAGGCAAGGCTGCCCCCTGTCTCCTCTACTATACATTCTAGCCTTACAACCTGTAGCACAGAAGATTAGAAGCCACACTTCCATCCACGGCATCCAAATAGGGGGACAGGAATATAAGGCGAATTTATTTGCCGACAATGTGCTACTGACTCTGATAAAGCCCAGGGTTTCCCTCCCAAATCTATTACAGACAATAACGGAATACGTCAAACTATCTTATTATAAATTAAATGTAACCAAGATGCAAGCATTAGGGCTGGGCATACCAGAGACGGAGGTAAAAGTGCTCTGCGCTTCTTTCTCTTTGGATTGGAGATTGGACTTCATCACATTTCTGGGGCTTAAACTCACAAAGAATCTGGCACAACTTCTGAAACAAAACTATGGACCGCTATTGAGAGAGATAACGAATGGGATACAAAATTCTAGACATGGTTGGGGAGACTGGCGGCAGTGAAAATGTCCATACTTTCCAAATTCCATTACCTACTTAGAACACCAGAAATGTATATACCCAGGACCTATCTAGACAAGTTAAAAACCAAATGTACTCCCCAACCTCCACAAAGAAATAACAGAATACAGTACACACTCATATTACCAGCTGAACCTAACCAAAGCACAGGCCATGTGCATAAACATGCCCAAATCGGAGGAGGAACGTTTCAAACACAACTTCAACTATGACTGGAGGAACGACTACTTAACATTCTTAGGCATTAAGCTAACAAAACATCATTCGAGCTTATTCGCCACCAACTTCTATCCTCAAAGAAGTGGAGCAAACGCTACACTCATGGCAAAACAAGTTCCTCTCATGGCTAGGCCGCATAGCGGCCATCAAAATGACGATTCTACCAAAAATCCTCTATATGTTCCGCTCCCTACAAATCCCCATACAACAGACGTACATCCAAAGACTACAATCGCTCCTGATCAGATTTAGCTGGGGAGGAAAACACCCTAGAGTCCCTCGAGCTTTATTAATGAGACACCCGGAAAAGGGAGGTCTGGGATTCCCTGACCTTAGGGCATACTACCATGCAACACACATCGCCAACATGCTCCAAATGCACTCCACCACATACACCCCCCAGTGGATCTCCATCGAAGCCAGCTGCGTAGGACAAACAGACCTTGCAGCTGCTATGTGGATGCCTAAGAAACTGCGCAACGTTCCCTGAGACACCCTACCCACCACAAAACTACTATACAACATATGGGACAACCACAGGACCGCATTTTGCTCAGCCACACCGTGGTCGATGGCAACACCACTAAAAACAATTGCACTCCATAACAACACATTCCTTTACAGAACATGGCAAGCCCACAACATCACACACCTACACCAAATCTGCACCGAAAAAGGCCCACTCCCGTTCTTAACACTGCAGACCAAATACAATATCCCAGCCAAACTAACATTCTCACATTGGCAACTGAAAACACTCCTAGACAGCACTATGGGCAACGTACCACCACCCCGATTTGACCCCAACCTCACACCATTCGAAAAAATGTGCCTTCACCTCACCCCCACCCAAAAAACATTATCAGTGTGTTACAGACACATAAACGCACACAAGCCAGATCCGGAGTGGCAATTTAAAAAGGACTGGCACAGAGATATCAATAGAACCCTCACACCAGACGACTGGAACCACATATATGCTAACCACAAGGGACTCACATCGTGCGCCTCGCACCTAGAAGCCTCACACAAGCTACTATATAGGTGGTACATGGTACCTACGAGACTTAAGAGAATCTACCCTAACATGAGTGACAAATGCTGGAGATGTCAGACCCAAACAGGGACCATGCTACACATTTGGTGGTCATGTACCCAGGTCCAACTGTACTGGTCACGAATAGCAGAGATAATAAGAGGGGCCACAGGATGCATCCTCGAACACAACGCTGAAACATTCTTGCTCAAACTTCTGCCTGCCAACATACCCCACAGTATAACTAAACTGATGTTCCTCACACTCACCTCAGCGTCCACCTTACTGGCAAAACACTGGAAAACCCCCCAGATCCCCTCCATGGCGGAGGTGACAGCAATGGTCACTACCACCCTGGACTATGAGGTGATCTTATGGAACCAAACAAAAATAGGCAAAGGGAGTGATACAGCGAAAAAGATTTGGACCACATACATAGAGAAGAAAACCCTCCAAGCTGCAGCTAGGGGCACTGCCAACACTGATACAACTACGTAACAATAGAACCTCGATGGTTCATAGCAGCCACACAAGACACATTAGTTATCCCAGTTATTCCCCCCCCCCCGTTTCACCCTGCCTCTCTCCTCCTCCTCTCATACCTGGACCCGTTCAGGGGTACACACCTGAGGAACAACCCCAGATAGCCTGAGAAGGCGAACGATAATAAAAAAAACCACACACCATAGACAATCAGACAGGCCAGCCAGCGGCGATCGAATTAGCCCGTAAGGGAAAGGTGGCCCGATAACTCATAGCCCTCCACAACGGAGGCCTTTTCCCCCTCAGACGGGCATACTACATGTGTCTCTTTTGAGGGGATAAGCACACCCTGCTCGCCACCACAGGAAGACCCACATATAGGGGCAACAAGTAACACTCCTCCTTTCACAGAAGACGCGCAGGGCCGTGTACAATAACCCGCTCTACCTACTGTAAAACCCATATGTAAACGAAAGGAAGCACAATCAGTACTACACATTGTAAGCAAATAGAAATGTCGGGTATTGTACAAATGCTGTTAAATGGTATGATCAACTGTAATGTCAAACCTAACGGGATTTAAATGCACCCCCCTGAGCCCCCCCTTTTCCTTTCTGTACCCCTCTGAACCTTTGTCTTCCGACAAAAATAAAAATTGAAAAAAAACAACAAATGTACTCAGTAACATGGCACTACTTTTACTCACATGGGATAACCTAAAAAAACAATTAAGATAGGAATACTCGTGGTCCCTTGCCACCCCCATAAAATACTTACACATAATTAACCCCCCCTTTGACTTTAGACCCTGGCTGACTGGAGGCTACTCCACTATAGGACATCTTTTTGACAAAACAGTTCTACTTCAGTTTCCAGACCTCCAGGGGAAGTTTAATCTGCCGTCCAGAGCGTTGTTCTCCTATCTACAGATTAAAGCGGAGCTCACACAGCATCCAATACAACCACCAACCTCCTCGTTTTCCCCATGTTTTCGCTCCACTCTTTTACTCTCCCTTTTTTTCCCCCTTCTTACACCTCCCCTTTCATCCGGCTTCTCCAATCACCTCATCTGTGGTGTTGGTGACAAAGATCCCCCACTAATCATATGCCTCCTGTAGGTGTTTTTTGGGTCGAATGTGTCCATGCGCCATTGTTTCATAATCTAGGTTCAATTAAATTTGGTTCAATAGTGCTGGCGTTCAGTGGCGTACACACGATCCATGGGGCCCGGTGCGAAAATTGATCCTTACTCTGCGCGAGAAAGCGTTCTCACTTCCCACCGTCCCCAAAAAAGTATTCTCCTCCACGTACCAGGTAATGACTGACCCGCAGAAAGAGCCACAGGACAAATTTAGACTTGAATGGCGGAATGACTTAAACCAGACATTAGATACACAAATATGGAACACAGCATTTGTGGCACACAGGGGTAGATCGAGTTGTGCCTCCCATCTAGAACTTATGAGGAAGATACAATATAGATGGTACATGGTGCCAGACAGACTATCACGTATGTATTCGAACACTAGCATATGTACCACATATGGTGGACGTATACCAAAATCAAGAAATCCTGGCAAACAGTGGCGAACATCGTGACTACTGCACACACATTAAACTCACTCCCAAACTATGTCTACTATTTATATCACCATATTGCCTTCCTGGCCCAGCATCTTTCCTACTTTTTCACATACTAATAGCGGCAATCTGCGGGTGGGCGCGCCGAGGGAGCATTCTTCCTGAGCTCTCTCTGGCCAGCTCCCTCACGTGCACCACAGTGGTGCCTGAGCCGTAATATGACATCACTCTGGCTCCGGCATCAGTAAGCGGCACGCGAGGGAGCTGGGTAGACAGAGCTCAGAGGAGAATGCTCCCTCGCGCGCGCTCTGCAGCCCAACTGGACCCCAGGGAAATCTGGAATCCCCTCAGTACTCCCAAAGGTAGGGAGGCTGGGGGATTTAAAAATAAATAAATAAATGTGGTGGTCTATGTGTGTTACTGTGTGTGTGTGTGTGTGTGTCTGTTACTGAGTGTCTTAGTTGTGTGTTTGTGTGTGTCTGTTATTGAGTGTGTGTGTGTGTGTGTGTTAGTTTGTGTGTCAGTGAGTGTGTGTGTGTGTGTGTTAGTGAGTGTGTTAGTTTGTGTGTGTCTGTTAGTGAGTCTGTTTGGTGTCTGTTAGTGAGTGTGTGTTTGTCAGTGAGATTGTATGTTTTGTAAGTGAGTGTGTATGTGTGTCTGTCTGTCTATCAGTGAGTCTATATGTATGTCTGTCACTGAGTGTGTGTCTGTCAGTAAATGTGTGTGTCTGTTTAGCTAGTGTGTATGCATCTGTTCGTGAGAGTGTGTGGGTGTGGTTAAAACCCCTTCAGCATTTACCTTTCTCCAGTGCCGGGCGCGCTTGGCGCTGTCGATCTCTCTGCCTCGATCCGCCTCTCGGCTCCGAATGCGCATGCGCCCATAGAGCATTACTCAATGCTTTCCTATGGACATCCAGCATCTTCTCACTGTGATTTTCACAGTGAGAATCGCGGAAGCACCTCTAGCAGCTGTCAGTGAGACAGCTACTAGAGGCTGGATTAACCCTCTCTGAAACTGCTATGTTTTTAGCTGCAGGGTTAAAACTAGAGGGACATGGCACCCATACCACTTCATTGAGCTGAAGTGATCTGAGTTCCTATAGTGGTCCTTTAAGTTTATGTGTATCTGCATGCACTGGCGCGTACATATCGGGGTCGCAGCCCTGTGAACCTTGCGACCAGGTTCCCACCGCCATGTGTTGCGGCCCCGGCCCGCGCAGAGTAAGCGCCGAGAGGGGGGCCAAGGATCAATTTTTGCACCGGGCCCCATGGATCGTGTGTACGCCACTGAACGCCAGCACTATTGAACCAAATTTAATTGAAACTAGATTATGAAACAATGGCGCATAGACACATTCGACCCAAAAAACACATACAGGAGGCATATGATAAGTGGGGGATCTTTGTCACCAACACCAGAGATAAGGTGATTGGAGAAGCCAGATGAAAGGGGAGGTGTACGAAGGGGGAAGAAAAGGGAGAGTAAAATAGTCACACAAAAAAAAAGTAGAGTAAGAGTGGAGCGAAGACATGGGGAAAACGAGGAGGTGGGAGAAAGGGAGAGTAAAATAGTCACACAAAAAAGAAGTAGGGTAAGAGTGGAGCGAAGACATGGGGAAAGCTGACGGGCCAAGCTGAGGTGGGATTTCTATTCTTCATGGGTCAACAACCATATCAACAACCACATCACACAACTGAGCTCAGAATAGTACAGGAAACATAAGATGCACCAACTGTTCTGAATAGGTTTTATAGCATCTATTACGAGTACAGAGTGCACCCGTACAAGCCACCGGCGCAAACTCACTTTGTAAATAGATAAATCCTTTTTTCTCTCTTTTTTTTTTCTACTAGTGTATCTTTATCTTTCTATAAAAAAAATGTTTTCAAAAGAGTCAAGTATCACAGAGAGGGTAATTTAGAATGGGTAATAGCCCCTCTGCCAAAGGGTACGCAACATGTACTTTAAAAGAGAACACGAGGGGGTAGACGGCAGCAGCCACAGATCAAAACCACTCAGCTCAGGGTGTTAGCTAGTTAGTTATTTGAGACCACATAGATGGAATCCAAGATTAACGATGTTGTACCATTGTAAGAATATAGTAAGGGTGATGCCATAAAGACTAAGATTTTGTGGCAAAAGATATGCTACGAATTGATAGATGCCCAGAATGACTAACCGGTAAAACACCGGATGTGACAGGAAGCACTAATTAAGTAAATAGCCATGGCACCAAACTCAAATGGGAATACGCAACCTTTCTTAATGTCAATGTACATATTATTTTGCAACTGCTGGTTGTACCCCGGATGTATCCCGTGGAAATGCTTTTGACTCAATAAAAATTGTCAAATTGAAAAAATAAAACCATCCTATGGTAAGGGACCCTAAACCTCGTGTGATTGGTTCAAGTGTAAAACTCATTATAATCTATAACATCTTAAGGACAATATTTCTTGATTCTTTATTTTTTTAAGGACCAAACATCTAGACTCCAAAACTCTCCCTGGGAGTTATGATAACAATAAAACAACTTAAAAGTATTTGACCTGAAAAGATACATTTAGCATTCCCCAGTTTGGTTCTTGTTATTGTATTTTTTTCCCCCTCCTCTTGAATGTGGAAGGAGTGTTCAGTGCACAGCGGGATTGTTCGGTTCCGCCAAATAATGTTCCCATAATTAGATTTTTTGAGGGATGTCCAATACTCATTCATCCATGGTTCTACTTTCATTAGTCCCTGGCCTTATCTTATAGTTAGTATAGCCTTATGCTTATCCCACGCATGCTTAAGCTCCTTCACTGTGTTAACCTCTACCACTTCAGCTGGATGGCTATTCCATGCATCCACTACCCTCTTAGTAAAGTAATACTTCCTGATATTATTTTTAAAACCCTCTAATTAAAGACTATGACTTCTTGTTTTGCTAGTTTTTCTTCTATTAAATATAGTCTCCTGCTTTACTGTGTTGTTTCCCTTTATGTATTTAAATGTTTCTATCATATCCCTCCTGTCTCGCCTTTCCTCCAAGCTATACATGTTAAGTTTATTTAACCTTTCCTGGTAAGTTTTATCATGCAATACATTAACCAGTTTAGTAGCCCTTCTCTGAACTCTCTCTAAAGTATCAATATCCTTCTGGAGATACGATCTCCAGTACTGCGTACAATACTCCAAGTGAGGTCTCATCACTGTTCTGTTCCATGGCATGAGCACATCCCTCTTTCTACTGCTAATACCTCTCCCCATACAATCAAGCATTCTGCTAGCATTTCCTGCTGCTCTATTACATTGTCTGCCTATCTTTAAGTCATCAGAAATAATAAACCCTAAATCCCTTTCCTCAGATGTTGAGGTTAGGACTCTATCAAATATTCTGTACTCTGCCCTTGGGTTTTTACATCCAAGATGCATTATCTTGCACATTAAATGTCAGCTGCCACAGCTCTGACCATTTTTCTAGTTTACCTAA